GCCGAGCAGGGAGCCCGATGTGGGACTCGATCCCGGGTCTCCAGGATCATGACCTGAGCCGAAGGCAGTCGCCCAACCAACTGAGCCACCCAGGCGCCCCCAAATGATATCTTTATTGTCAGAATCACTCCTTTCACTATCTTTTCCAAACATCACTTCCTTTTTACTACTTTCCCCCAGCCGTTGCGGCAAATCAGTGTTCAACACCGTCCCAGATTCTTAAAAGGATCCACTGTCTACAAACGAGAAAGCCCCACAATCCAAGCATATTACCCTAGTGATCTTCGGCGCTTTCAAAGACACCTGTGAAAATGCCAAAGTCTTGAATTAGATCCCCAAGGGCTCCTTTTCTTTCTTGACCCCATTTCTCTTTTTCTGGCCCTTCAGGTCAGATGACTTCCTAACAGACAGCCCCTCCCTCTTCCAATCAAACCTAAATCCTTCTCCTAATTAGCAAACCTCCCCCCGCCCCCCACCTTCGGTCAGCTACCACGTCCGTCACAACCCGGTCCCGTCTCTCTCGCCAGGCCATAATACCGACCGCGGTCCTGGCTGCTCCGATCCCTCGCCCCCACCTCCAAATCCCAAAGCATCCCTTCCTCCGGCCCCTCATTCCCGCGGAACCCCTTGCATGTGCTTCCCTCACTACTCGGCTTCCCATACCCTCCAAGCCCTTGCCTCTTCAAAGCCACCTCTCCCTCAGGTCTCCCACTACCCTCGCCCCTCAGCCTCCAGCCATCGTCACCCTCCTCAGGCCCTCGGCTCAACAGCCTCCATTTCCCAGATTCCATTCTAGAGCAGACTCTCCCGGCTCCCTCAACCGTCTCCTGCGGCCCCTCCGGATCCCAGTCCTAGGCAGCCCGGCTCCGCCCCTGACTCCCAACTCATCCCCGGCTGCGGGCGCTCCCCAAACTCCCCTCTCCTCAGGCACTGATCCCGCTCACCTCCGCGGTCCGAGTCGGGCTTCCCCGACCCACCTCCGAGTCGGCGTCCGAACCGCCGTCGCAACCACCGGCCCTTCGGGCCTGGCCAGCGTGAAGCGCCTCGAGCGGCGGAGGCGGAGGCCGGGGAGGCGAGCCGGAGTGGAGGCGGGGGCGGTGGCGGCTGCGCGCAGGCATCGCTTCGGCTAGTCTCTGCGGCTCCCGCAGCCCCTGGAATCCGAACCGGAACTGCTTCGGGAGGAGGGGCCCTATGGGCGTGAGGCGGAGCCATACCGGCGGGGGCGGGGCCCAAACCGGAAGGGTCGCGGGATTCAAGATGGGCGAGGGAAGGAAAACCGCGGCGAGGAAACCCGAGAGCGCATGCGTCAGCCCGAGAGCCAAAGTGGGAGAAAATGAGGGGCTGGTGAAGATGGCCTGGGGCCTATGAGATTAGTAGATGAGGTGTGGGAGCAAGAAGAGGTTACCAAATTCCTTTGGAGGGAGCCAGCTCCTCCGCAAGAGCCAGCATCCAATGATCATTATTACCATTTATTGCCCCTTTACTTTCTGACAGTCCTTATTCCAAATGCTATATAAATATCTCGCTTAATCTTTGTGCCAACTTTGCAGGGTATTATAACACAGAAGGGCCAGGTAACCTGCTTGAGGTACCGCAGTTAATATGTCCTAAAGCTAGTATTCCTACTTAAATCTAACTTCAGAATCTGCTCCTCTCTATTTTCGGAAAGTCCCCAACCCAGGCCTAGAATTGGCATAAGCCAAATCCCAAACCACCTGCAACCTGGGCTCCAAATCCTCCTTGACTGTCTTCCTCATCAAGTGCAGGGCAGACTTCAATGGCTCTGATGGAGTGGAGACAGGTTCTAGAGTGGACATGAGTGCATACTTCTCCCACCGGATCCCCTGGTGTAGCCCGTACCCTCAAGCTGGACTCAAGACCAGGGGCAGGTGGGAGCCTTCCCACTGCAGCTCATACTCCTTCCATCCCATCAGGGCCTTCATGAAGTCACCTGAGAGTGGGCAAGTCATCTTACCTCTTCTGCAGGTAACTGGCTCTGACAGAGGACAGATATAGACCTTTCTCAGTTTCTGTTGTGGGGGCAAAAGCCCTTATAAGCAGGGGAATCTCCACCCCAAAAATGTTTCTGATGACAGTCCCTTTGGCTCTTCAGAAGGTCTAGGGCAACATTCACTTCCCTTCTCCCCACTTTGATATACATGGCCCATTTCAGCCTTCTCTTTTGAGAAATCAGCTATTTTAATTATAGAACCATTGTTCAAACCTTCCCCCACAAACCCCATGAGCATCCTTTAGATGAAATTCTCCATGCCTCCTCTCCATATTTCTCTGACTCTACAATGCAGGAAACTTCCCCCCTGAGCTGCATAATCCACAGGCTCACTCAGCAGCCATATGGTTCCCACCCAGTTTGTGGCCCACCCAGACCTGCAGAGCTTTTTTTTTAATCATTCATTGTTGAAACCAACCACCCCCCGCTCCACCCTGGATCTCCACTTTAACTCAGTCTTCAGAACTAAATAGCCTTATTCAGGGCCCTAACCCTATTAGTTCAACAAATGTTTCTTAGGCATCTACTATGTGTTAAACACAGAATATCCTTTGTTTCATTTAATCCTCATAATTCTTTCAGGTAGGTGTAATTATCCTTACTTTACAGTTGAAGAAACTGAGGTAGAAATGTAAAGTGACTTGCAGAGATATGACTGATTCCATGTTGTCACGGAGTTTGGGGTTAGGGGGGTGACTTGGGGAAAAAATGTCCTGTTCTTTCTGGAGGCCTCTGTGACTTGCTGAGTCACTTGCCTCTGTCCCACCTGTTCCTGCCAATCTCCGGGAAGGAGAAATGACACTGGAGAGGCAGAGAGGAGTGACTGCAGAGACAGAGCGGTGGGTGGGCTGGCCCATGGCTGAAGCCTCGGTCCCAGAGCTGAGGGGAGATGCCGAAGCCACACCTTGCCCCAGTGTTCTGGAACTGGAGGAGCTCCTGAGGGCAGGGAAGATTTCTTGCAGCCACGTGGATGAAGTTTGGCCCAACCTTTACATAGGAGATGCGTGAGTGGTAGCTGGTCGAAGGGGTGTGGGGAAGGGGATAAGGAGAGACAGTTCTTGGGCTCTTTACCAGAGATGGGAGCCGGGTGGAACAAGGAGGAATAGTTCTGCTCTGCACATCCCAGGCCAGGGACTTGCTCCAGGACCCCAGTGTGCTGGGGACAGTGCAGTGATCAGGTGTGACCACCATGGGGAGCAGGGCTTTTGCCTGCCTGGATGATTGGAACTCCCAGAAGATCCTGAAGTCATTCTGATATATCCAGGACAATTGGTGAGTCTCGGGGACAGAGGCCTGGGGAATGGTGCTTCCAGGTATGACATGGGATGGACAGAGAGCTCCCCTTCCTGGTCCCAGCCTCCCTCCTCTGGACACAGAATGGGTGAAAGAGGTGAATCAGGGAAGGTGTCACCCATTACACATTAGCAAATTAGAAACAGGTATGAGGTAGTGGCCAGAAGAGGCCAGATGTGGGTGGGAAGGCATGGGGCAGGAAAGGAGGGGCAGCTGGATTCCAGGACTGAAGTAATTCTTTCCTTCCTGTCTTGGCCAAGGCAGGAGCAGATGGCCTCAGGAAGCGAAGAGGGTCTAAAGATAACTCCCTATACCACCAACTCTTCCACCAGAAAGCTCTGAGGGTGGGGCTCAAGCTTACTGGGTTCCTTGTGGCTCCCTTTGGGCCTTTATGGCTCTGTCCCTCTGAAGCAGGGGGCCAGGCAAAACCTCCTTCCTGGACCTCATGGCTCAGCCAGCACCCAGCCCTATTCTTCCTCTTCCTAGGGCCACGGCAAATAACCGCTTTGAGTTATGGAAGCTGGGCATTACCCACGTGCTGAACGCAGCCCACGGGGGACTCTACTGTCAGGGTGGCCCTGATTTCTACGGCAGCAGTGTGAGCTACCTGGGGGTACCAGCCCACGACCTCCCCAATTTCGACATCAGTGCCTACTTCTCCTCCGCAGCCGACTTCATCCACCGTGCCCTCAGCACACCTGGGGGTAGGACTTGGGTCTGAACCCATATCCCCTCCTGCTCACTCATGGGGGGCGATGTCCAGTTTCCCCTCAAATATCAGTGCCCTCCCATCTTTAGTTTTTAAAAAGACTTCAGGTTTGTAAAAATCCTCTGCTCAGTGCTCCAGCAATTTATCCAACCTTGTTGCTTCAACAGACAGGGAAACTGAGGCCTAGAATCCAAAGTCATGTCATGAGTTAGGAGCAGTCCCAGGATTGGAAGCCTTGAGAAATTGCCATTTAGTACCTAGATGTCTGGTTTCCACCCCAAAGTATTTTCAAATGGAAAAATAAGACAAAACAAAACAACAACAACAAAAAAACGCCTTCTACTCCCCAGGGTAGAACAGAGGAGCCTGGGGAAGCTGGAGCCCCTGCTCTGTGTGCATCCTGGGTGAGAGTCATTCCCCTTGCTCCCTGCCCCTGGGTTAGCCAGTGTCTCTCTCTGGACTTCAGTTTCTTGTCTACCTGACAGGAAAGACAAGACTATGGCTCACAGCACTTTTTAATATCCAGAGCGCTTTGACATTCATTTGTTCGTCATCTATTCATTTACCCGCTGTTTATTATCTTTTCTGTGCCAGGTGCTGAGCTAGATACTGAATCCACACTTAGACAAGGCAGAGTCCCTGCTCTTATGGCTCTTGTTGTCATGTGTTTCATGGAAAGACAATCATAATTATGAGTACTATTCAAATGAGTGGGTAAATGTGAAGAGCTCTAGGAGAACAGGAACAGGGCAAGGGTGCTTGATCCAGGGGACCAGGGAATACAACAGTATTCACTGGGCCACAGGCAAAAAGGATGAGCTACTCTGTGATTCAAGTGATACCATGAGTGACCAGGAAAGACTATACAAGGAAACCATGTCTTAGCTGAAACTGGACAGATGAGTAATAGACATTAGTCAGACGAAGAGCAGAAGAAGTTTTACAGGTGGTTGGAATAGCATGTGCTAAGGCTGGAGGCCAGAGCCCCGAACAGCTTCAAGGAACTGAAAGTGAGTTCCTCAGGGTGAAGGTCAGGGTTAGGCAGGCTGAGATGAAGCTGTAGGGTCTGCAGGGGCCAGCTCACAGAAGGTCTTGTAAGCCACGTTAAGGAGTTTGGACCCTATCCCAAGGGTAGGCTAAATAGGTGTTGGTATACCCATCTGACAGATCAGGAAACAGAACCATAAAGGCTGAACAGTTTGCCCAGGGTTACAGAGTATACCCATGGCAGAGGCAGGGAAAGGCACGTGGGTCCCTACCCCTGCCCCGGGCGGGCCAGCAGGTGGGAAAGGGTCTTTCACCAGGATGTTTTCCTCAGCCAAGGTCCTGGTGCACTGTGTGGTAGGGGTGAGCCGCTCCGCCACGCTGGTCCTGGCCTATCTCATGCTGCACCATCAGCTGTCCCTGCGCCAGGCTGTGATTACCGTGAGGCAACACCGGTGGGTCTTCCCCAACCGAGGCTTCCTCCACCAGCTCTGTCAGCTCGACCAGCGGCTGCGGGGCGCAGGCCGGAACTGAGGGGCCAGGTGAGGGCTGGGCAGGGCACGAGGGGTGCGGGGCAAGGCTGGGTGCCGTGAGAAGTGAGAGGTCAGGTAAGGGCTGCACAGGGAATGAGGCAGGGAAGACCAATGAGGGCTGGCAGGGGACATGGAATGGGACCAGCTCAGAGGTGGGTTGTCAGGGTTGTGTGTGGCCAGAAGTGAGGGTTGAAAGGGGCCTGGCCCACTCCTCAAGCTGCTGGGCTCCCTCACCAGCCCAGGGCCTCAATAGGGCCTGGCAGAGGCAAACTTTCAGAAGGACCCGCTCTCCCCAGCCCATCCATATTCTTCAGACCCCAGAGAGGATGGAAAGGCCAGGGAGGAAAGAGGTGGAAAGCATAAAATGGAAGCAGTGAGGCCTTCTTACCAGGTCCTGAGGCCCTGTCCCCCTTCCTTGGCTAAAAGCCTATGTGAGCTCACCTGAACCCCACCACGGTAGCAGCACAGCCAGTCCTGACACCTGGGGGCTGTCTGGGCCTTCCCACAGCTCTGCGTCCCTTCCCCTCGGGTCTGGACCCCAGCTACAGCTGCAGCTGTCACTCCAGGCTTAGTTATTTTCAGGTTAGCCCTGCGTCTCCTTCTCACAATGGGGAAGGAGAACAGGGGCTCCTGCCACCAGCCATGGCCCCCTCACATGAGCCATGCTTGATACCCAGTGCTCCTGTCACCATGCCATTCCATTCCCTGCCTTGGACCCAGCACCCTTCTATCTATCTGCACCCCCCGCCCCCCCGGACAGTCTGATCTCAGAGATCCACAGAAGGAGCCTCCCTAACTTTGCTCCCTCTCTGGTTGCGGGGAATCCCTGTGGGACATAGAGGTCTTCTGGAAGTCTATCCAGCTCCTTTCTGCTTCCATTTACCCCCTGCCCTACTGCTCTGTGTGCAGGCCATTTGGAACATTAGCAGACGTTCCTTAAGTTGCATACGAGGAACAGATCCTCAACACCTCCTCCCCTAGGTCTCCCCATTGCTGCTGGAGGCCCCAGTGTGCTGCTTCAATTTCCTTGGCATCTGGAACTGCCACCTTTGAAAAGTTTTCCTCCAGCTCAGCTGGGAGGAGGCAGGGGTATCCCTTCCTGTGGTGGATGGCTGTGCAGGCTCCATCGTTGTGAGAAGCGGCAGTGTCCACGGCCCTTCTTCTCCCACCACTCCCCGGCCGGATCTGTTCCTGTCTGTCTCCAACAGCCCACCTTCCTCACATTCACATCCCCCCCGGAGGGCCATCGGCTAGGGAGTTAAGCCCCAGGGCTGCTTTCCACTGGCCCTAGCCCACCTCTAACTCCTACCCATGCTGCTCCTTCCCTCATCTCTCCTCAGCCCTGACTTGGGCTGTGTGCCCCAGCACCCCCTGGCTCAGAGGGTCTGCCGGCTAGGGGTGGGTGATTGGCCTAGGTTCTCTTACGAGTTGGAAAAGTGGCAGCTTTCTCCTGCCAAGAGCTTCCCGGGGTGTGGATTGAATTTCCCCTTGCCCAGCCCTCCACCAAAAGCTGTTTTTTTCTCTGAATGCATAACCAGAGCCACCAAGGGGGAGCACTTTAGTACCCTGACCCCTTCCTGATGCTGGCAGGAGGGTGAGCATCTTGGGGGTGGGGATTAGGGCAGGACAGAGAGCTAGATTTAGAGTTTGGGGGTGAGTATAATGGAAGAAAATCACGGTTATAGCTGGTTTTGGGATCAGGCCCAGGGCTGAGCTGGGTGGGAAACTGTTGTGGGGAGCTCTGCGGGTATGGGGAGCCAAGAGGGAGACAGGAATGGCATGTTCCCATCCTGCTCTCTCCTCTAAACACGTTTCAGGAAACTGGTAGAACAGCAAATCTCTGATTATGCCCAATTGCCCCACTTCCTTGGCCTGGAGCCCTTAAATACCCTGACCTCTGGCCTCAGCATCTTTCCCATCAGGCAGCTGGCTTTGGGGAAATCAGTCAGGCCGCAGCATTGCACAAGTCCTGGAGGTGCCATCCACCAATGCAACTGGAGCCCCCAGGAGTTACGAAGTGTGCAACCTATGTGGCCATACACAGGGACTCTGAAAGATGATGGGGAGAGGTCATTTCTCTCCATGAGCCCTGGCCCCAAACCTGCCTTCTCTCTCTGAGCACCCATATCCACCTGACCTTACACAGAGGGCTCAAGGCAGAGAGGCAGGTTTAGGTGGCAGTTCCTGCCCCTACCCTGACAAGTCCCAGCCAGTCTGGGCCTTGGGTTGCCAGCCTATAACATGGAGCTCATCTCTCCCCCCAGAGCTGGTCCTTCCTCCCTGCCACGGGGCTGTGCCACTTTGTTTCCCTGGCACTGGCCCTGTTGGTGCTGCTGGAGGCTCTGGCCCAGGTGGATACCAAGAAGATGGTAAGAAGCCAGTGTGTGGTCCGCCCTAGAGCCTGCTACCCCATCTCCTTCCTCCTGCTGCCTGCACTCCGGGTCGGCTACTGTCTTCAGTCCCCACAGGTGGGAACGGGCTGCCTTCTCAGCCAATCCCTGAGGCTCCTCAGCCAGGACTCCAAGTTCCCTGGGGTGCGAGGATGGGAGGAGAACAGGAGGGGATTCTAAGTGTTCGTGATAGCCCTTGGCCGCAGCTGCGTCCATCAGCTCTCCCCAGGGCTCAGGGAACCCCAGCAGGGGCTGAGCCCTAGCTCCTGGAGTTCAGACTTCAGAGACCCCGTGTAGGTGTGGCTGCAGGAATGCAGAGGTCTCTGTGTCGGTCATCTGGGAGTGTGAGTGGGGAAGAGTATACTGAAGTATATGAGTATATGGGGAGCGTCTCCGGGAAGAGGTTCTTGACAGGAAGCAGGGGGGGTTCTTAACAGGCCCAAATCCAAGGTCCTTAACTGACTCCAGTGGCCTTGGGAGGGACCTAAAAGACCATCTGGCTGGCCTCAAGGGACAGTGAGGTCTGGGTTAGGAAGGCCTTCTGGGGGCGGGAGGAGTCTGGCAGAGGGCACAGTGGCTTCTAGACACACAGCTTCTGACTGCAGACCAGGGCAGTTCTAAAGGCCTGCTCTGAACCTCACCTACACCTTTGTAAGTGTATCCCCACTTTCCTCAGCCTGAGTCTTCTAGAGCTGAATCCTGGGCTAGTCCTATAATTCTCAGCTCCCAGCCAAGCACCCGGGGACCTGGGTTCTGTTGTTGGCCTTGCTGACAGTTTGCGTGTGGTTTGGGCTAGTCTCTTTTCTGCCCTCCTCCATGGAAGATTCTTCCAGCTCTAACCTGCCCGTGCTTCGCACCACCCTTGAAGGTCAAGGGAGCTTTGAAAATGGCTTCTCGGATCTTCCTTCTCTCTGCCCCACAATCAACATTCGCATACACCCAGACCACAAGCAGACCCCTGCGGGCTGCCTCCACCCCCGGCAAGGCCAGGTGCCTGGCTGGGCTTGGCACTGACCATGCCAGGGACCAGTGGGTGAGTTGGGAGTGTCAGGGGGAGGCCAGAAGAGGGGAGCAGCACATCATGCTTTATAATTAAACTCAAATCAAAAAATAGAAACAGCATCAAGTGTGCGGAGACAGGGAGCTGGAAGCAGACAGCACAAAGTGCCCGTCAGAGAAGACCACAGCCTGGGCCAGATACCCCCACAGGTGGGTGAGGGCCCCTATTTCAGGGGGGTCACGGAGCATGCTGGGTCATGAGGGCCAGGGCACCTGGGCCTGTGTGTGTTGTGGAGGGACTGGGTTAGATTGGAGGACAGACTGGGTTAGAGACAGAGCACAGACAAAGCAGAGTCAGAAAGACATGGTCTTGAATCCTTGATCCCATGTTAATTGGCTGTGTGACCTTGAACATATTGCTTAATCTCTCTGAGCCTCAGTTTCCTCATCTGTAAAATAGGGGTGATAATATTATCTGCTTCATAAGGGTACTGTGAGGATCCAATGAGAAAATGTAAGCATTTAGCTCTGTCTGATACATAGTACATCCTTAGTAAGTGGCGAATATAATTACAATTATTGCTGGACAGAGAAAGAAACTTCAAGAAACACAAAGAGATGGAGACTAAGCTTCACTGCCCTGCGGGAGGTTACCCTCCAGCCAGGATATGGCTGAGGCTTGAAAGGATAAGAGTAATAATAATAGTAATGATAATATTAAGATGCATCCTTTGCATCTATCATAAGACAGGCCCTAGGGAAGGGGCCTTATATTTAGTACCTCATGAAATTCTCACAGCAGCCCCATGAAGGAACTGGCTCAGCGAAGACCACACAAATACCAGACCTGAGAGCTCTGCCCAGATCTGTCCTCCTCCCGGGCCTGCAAGCTGAGTCCCGAGCCCCACTGGCAGCTCACCGTGGGCTGCCCACCTGCTCCCTGCCCCAAGGCGTCCTTCACCAGACTCCTCCTGCGTCCTGCCCTGAGATCCCCTGGCCTCCACTGTCCTGTGGCCACAGTCCCATCTGCTTGGGGGGGGGGGCGCGGAGGAGGGGGAAGCAGAGAGACTGGGTAGGAGGGAAGGACCAGCGGGAACATCTGGAGCTGAGGAGGTGGATGGCCGCAGCTGCCCCCTTGCCCTGAGGAGGCCTGTGCCTGAGGCCAAGGCAATGCCGGGCGGTGTGGCGAGCATGGTGGAAGAGCATGAGTTCCTATGAGAGGCTGCGGAGAGCCACATGGAGAGGAGGAGGGACGCACACAAAGGCAGAAAACAAGCGCCTCAGCTTGTAAACAGCACAAGAGCAGAGAAGCAACTGCCTAGGGAGGCAGCCGTTGGGCTTAGGGAGAAGACACAGGAAGGAGGCAGAATGCAGGCTGGAGGGAATGAGGAGAGCCAGGCCTGGCCCGTCCCTACGAAATGTTGGGCCCATGCTTCGCCCACCAACTTGCCTTCCTTGGGTGTGTCTGGAGCTTGAAGGATGAGCCCTTGGGCAGGGGGCTGGACCCCAGGGGGATAAAGCAGACAGGTGTGGGGGTACATCCGTGAGCATCAGGTGTGAGGCTCTAGGTGGGACCAGACAAGGAATAGCCCCTAAGGCCAAGGAAAAGGCCCC